GCGTGGACGGCAGAGTCCGGGGCGGGAGCGGGGGTTCCCTCACCCAGCGAGGCCAGGCTCCGGTAGTTCTCCAGCATCACCTTCCAGTACGGACGCCGCTGCCCAGGGCTGAGCCGCTCCCACTCCTCTTGGGTGAAAAAAACAGCCACATCCCCAAATGTCACCAAGCCCTGAAATGACAAAAGTGCACTGTTGCTCAGCCAGCGCCGAAGGTTCCCGGGGAGTTCTTAAAGGAACTGTGTCCTCCCACCCTGTGCTCAAGTCCTCACCCTCATCCTTTAGGGGGGGAAAACACTTGGAGACTGTCTTAGCCAGGGTTACTACTGCTGCGATGAAACACCATGACCAAAAGCAAGTTGGGGAAGAAAGGGTTTATTTGGCTTCTGTATCCCCATCGTAGTCCATCATCAAAGGAAGCCAGGGCAGAAGCTGACGCAGACCACGGAGAGGAGCTGTTTACCAGCTTGTTCCTCATGGCTTGCTCAGCTTGTTTTCTTATAGAACACAGCCCAGGGGTGTCCCTACCCACAATAAACTGGGCCCGCTCCCATTGATCATCAAGAAAATGCCCTAAAGGCCTGCATACAGCCCATTCTTTTATATTTTATTTTATTTTATTTTATTTTTTGTACAGCCCATTCTTATGGTGACATTTACTGCGGTTCCCTCCTCTCAGATGGCATAGCTTGTGTCAAGTTGACATAAAACTAGCCAGGACAGGCATGTACTCACACACAATATTTGTCATCAATTCTAACAATACATAATGAAAGCCAAGTTGTCCTGTCTCAACCTTGTGACACATTCATGGCCTGGAACAGCACATGGACCAGGAAAGAAACCAGGACAGAATTCTCAAAGATCCAGGCAATGCCCTGGCTGTGGTCTAAGGGTTGCATTTTCATTGAAAGTTCCTTAACACTAAAACATGATCTACAATTTTTTTCTAAATAAAAAAAGAAAATTGGCCAGGCGTTGGTGGTGCACGCCTTTAATCCCAGCACTCGGGAGGCAGAGGCAGGCGGATCTCTGTGATTTCGAGACCAGCCTGGTCTACAAGAGCTAGTTCCAGGACAGCCTCCAAAGCCACAGAGAAACCCTGTCTCAAAAAACTCAAAAAAGAAAAAGAAAAAAGAAAGAAAAAAAAGAAAATTGGGTGTGTAGTAAGAATGAAAACCACTATCAAGTTTAAAATTAATATAATGCCTTCAGGTGCAGACATGGTAATGCAGGCCTGTAATTCCAGCAGTTGGGAGGCAGAAACTGAAGGACTCCACACTTGAGGCTAGTGTGGAATATACACACACACACAGAGAGAGAGAGAGAGAGAGAGAGAGAGAGAGAGAGAGAGAGAGAGAGAGAGCGAGAGAGAGAGAGAGAGAGAGACGAGACAGAGAGACAGACAGAGACAGAGACAGAGACAGAGAGAGGGAGACATGCTGAGTGTCTACCACTAGGAGGATGGAGACAGGAATATCAGGAATTCAAGGCTTCTACAACTACACAGTTCACGGCCAGCCTGGACAGTTTGAGGCTATGTCTCAAAGTATAAAATTTGGAATGGAATATGACGGAAGAGGAAGGGAAGAAACGGGAGGTTAGGGGGAGGAAGAGAGGAGGCAGGGAGGGCAGGGGGAGGAGAGGACAAGAGGAGAGAAAGAAGGGGAGAGAAGAAAAGGGGAGGGGCGGGGGGAAGGAA